CCCTTGCAAAAGGGCGTTTTGCCCCATACCCTGGGTAATACGCCCACACCCATGTGCAAAGCGCCCCCACCCCATCTATCAACAGAAAATGATGAACATGGCAGAACTTGACGTCATTCTGACGTCATTTGTGGTCAACCTATCATAGCCTTTGGAATAAAATTTTGTTGCAATGTGTAAAATGGATGCCCGGAGGAGTCCTGAAAGTTTGGTGACGATATCTGCAGTCGTTTAGGATATATCAGCAAAAAAGGACAGGGAGAGGCCTTTTCGGCCCCGACCTACAGGGCGCTACCCTGCACTCTCACCACCGTGCAAAACGCCCCCCTTTCAAAAAACTGGGGGCGTCTTGCCCCATGCATCGAGTAGGCGTCTTGCCCCATCCACTCCATTTCCGGTCAACAAAATATTGACAAAAAACGCGCCACTAACCAGGGATGCGGAGCCGGAGCCGGAGTCGGAGCCGGAGCCGCCGGAGCCGGCATATTTTGCCCGGAGCCGGAGCCGGAGCCGGAGCCGTGAAACAATATAGCCCGGAGCCGGAGCCGGAGCCGGAGCCGCCAAAAAAGGGGGCGACTCCGGCTCCTTTTTATTTTTTGAAGAGGAAAAAAATAATTGACCTAGTTCGGTTTGACAGTACAAGGCAGTAAAACATATGGTACTTACGTCATGGGCCATCAAGTGAATGAAAAAATCCGAATATCCCCAGTATCCCACAGTACGCAAACAACTTCCTGTTTGCTCTCCCCCCCCCCCCCACCACGTCTACTGCATCCCCAGAACATGAGGACCAGTCATCAGGTGACGGCCATTGTTTTCAAACCAGTGCAGTGGACTGCGACTCCCAGCACCGTCTCATCCCATACACCCCCCACCCCTCACCCCCCAATGCAGCCGAGACGGGTGTCAGCTTACGATGGTTCACTGAACTCCGATTCGCGGCGACTGCGTTTCCAATGCCATCGCTTCCTAGCCCTTTGTTCTGCCAGTTCTCTCAGAGGTGCGTTTGCGCGGGGACGCGGTGAGCCGGTCATGGCAAAGAGTAACGCGTATAACCAATCCAATTTTTCTTCCACCCGTATTTAATTGATTGCGTAGGGGATGTACTGAGTCGGAGCCGGAGCCGCCGGAGCCGGACCATTTTACTCGGAGCCGGAGCCGGAGCCGGAGCCGCCATAACATTTCACCCGGAGCCGGAGCCGGAGCCGGAGCCGATTTTTTTCTCCGGAGCCGGAGCCGGAGCCGGAGCCGTCTGAAATTTCCACGGCTCCGCATCCCTGCCACTAACGCCGCAGCATAATATATTCAACAGAATGACAATAAAACGCAGTTTTGAGCGATGTGCACAATAGCAAGTTTTGTGATATAAAGAGGGCATCAAAATATTAGGAATCTTCTGTAAAAACAACAAAAACAACACCCAAAACCAACATCAGCACCTACCCACGATGCTCCTCAAGACTCAGAACCGGAAATAGAGACCTACGTAAACAAGCAGCTGACTGTTCTGAAAGACAGGATAAAACACCTATCCGTCGATAAGAAATACGATTTTTTTAGGGGAGGCGTTTAACCCAGGGGTGCGTTTGCCCCATAGTTACCCTACCTTAATATTTCACTTTCCGTTAATGTTTGGAAGACACATAATGGTTTCATCAACTCGTTGTAAAGCGCTGGGGAGGTGGCCGGCGTTACCCCTATGCCGGGCTTACCCCAGAAAAATCAACACTTTTTTAAAACTCGATTTTCTCAACCTTATATATATATATATATATATATATATATATATATATATATATATATATATATATATATATATATATATATATATATATATATATATATATATATCATTCGATGCGGATTACCCGGCAGTTGCTGGGGTATTTCGCCACCCACCGTTTGCTGGGGGGGGGGGGCGTTAAACGCCCCCAGCCGATAACTCGAGAACCAATAGGCGCAGCGAAACGCACGAGGCGGCAAACGAAAGAACGCGACGAGACGCTTCAGATGAGTACTTTAAAGTTGAATTTTGAGGTCACAGGTCGGGTCAAGGTCAGGTCAAACACCTGAAATCGGGCTTTCAGTAGCATGGACTTCAGGACTTTGCAATGGGCGCCTCTCGTCACAAACTCTGTCAAAACCGTGCACAATCCATCATATAAAGCCTACAAGAGTGTCAGCTCCATGTAGGGGTCAGTCAAGCATAGGTCAGGGTCAAGGTCAGGTCAACCGGGTAGGCACATATCCCCGAAAATCAAAACTGATATTCGCAGCCTGTGACGCATGTTTTATGGGTAATTTGGGGCGTAGAACACGATGGTGACATTCATTTTATCATATATGTACGTGTTTGGCTCAAAAAGTTCAATTTAAGAAATGCATGTATCATGGTCGTGAAGTAGTCACGAGAAATTGCCAAGATTCAGTTCAAGATTTTGGAAAATGCGGAACGATAATCAATAATCGAAGATAGCCATTTGATTGTTCATGGTATTGGCAGTGTAATGGCGTTTACGGCATGTCTGTATGTCTATTCTGTGATTTTATATGATTTTTTGAACATAAGCCGTTTTTGGTCGAAAACTCAGAAATCATGACGTCACTAAAACCTCGATATTTCAAAAATTTTCCGACCGATTTTTTGAAACTTTGGCACAATAAACTTCAATCAATTCCCTACAGGTACCCAAAATTTGGCGCGCCTGCGGCGCGCCGTTTTTATGCTATGGCCCGGCGAAAAAAGTGGGGGCGTTTAACGCCCCCCCCCCCAGCAACTCGCGGGTTAACGAGAGGATCACAATGCTGCCCTTAGATTGTTCCTATCTTGACTAGTTCGAAAGTTATTCGAGAAAAAACTCTCCATATCTAGCGCCGCCATTTTGACTTTTTTGACCCCTGTGAAGTCATCTTTGACCTGACCTGAAAATGACCTCCGTAAAAATTGTAGACCTTGTCCGTGCGTATCCCATGCCGTTTACCGCTTGTCGCTATCTTGCTTCGTTCTCGAGATCGGGGGGGGGGGCGGTCATCCGTCCCCCCCCCCGTCGGTACGAACTAGTTGGCGCAGACCCCCGTCGGTGCGCGGGTTAAATCAAAGTCTTATAGATCGGCTGACACTCATAAGGAGCCTTCCTTTCAAGGCGTCCAATGACAGAGTTTATCAATATGCCGCGGGGGATCTAGGGCGCGACTTTGTCTCAGCCGTCTGTAATAGTTAGTGCGAATTAGTTTTTTCTTTTTCTTTTTGCAATTGGCAATTGCCGGCTTATAATCGGGAAAGCCGCTAATTATGAAAAGCAAGTCCTTGTCAGAAAACTTCAAGATTCCTTTACTACATTCACTTATTGTCATCTGGTAGCACATATGTGCAGCCATATGATGCTCAAGCGGTGCGGCGTGATGCGACGTGCAAATGGCGCAGCCGAAAATATATTTTGTTGTGTGGATTTGTTGTTAAATCGTGTTCGTGTTATGCGGTTGGACGCTTGAGCCCAAGGCTATATAAACCAGGTAGAACGTTCCCGTCGAAAAAGTGGTGACAAGCGATAATTAGTAGCCGCGACCCTCACTTGTTCAAAACTATATCCGCAAGCAGCATTTACAGGCTAGCGGAAATCGACCAATCGGCGTTCGGCAATACTCGACGCTGATTGGCCCGATGCTCGTGACGAAATTGCGGGGGACTGTAGCTATTCCCCTATGGCGTTTAATAGACTTACGGCTTTTGAAGGGGATTTATACCAGTTTTTGTTGGGTTTGAGGCCATTTTTGAGCTTGGATATTCTTTCTGTGACTTTTGACTGTGTAATAACGACATTTAATCATAACATTTCTATATACTACCGGTGTCGCATCGGCCAAAAAGACCGTAAGTACATGGGATAGACGGACCACTGCTGATGGGGCCACACATGTCGGCGTGTGGTCATCGGAGGTCCATGAGGGCTCGATATAGGCCCTTCATGGGTCGGTATAGGCCCGGTGGGTCCAGTGCAAGCCTATCAGGGGCCGGTGCTGACCCAACAGGGCCCAGTGGCATATAATGTAAGGCTGTCTAGGGACGTTGAGGGCTCATGGGGGCCATATAGGACCAATAGGGACCACAACAGTCAATCAGGGGCCATTTAGGCCAATAAAGGCACTTCAGGGGACTTGAAAAGGTCATTCAAGAGCCGTGGTGGGCCCATGAGGGGACGGCATTGGTCCAGCAGGTGCAGTCAGGGATGTTGTACGGGTTTCTCAGTGGCCCATTTGGGCATATCAGTGACCAATTTGGACCCAGCAGGGGGCTTTGTAGACCTATCAGGGGCTGGTGATGGTTCATCAGGGGCCAGCGTTAGTCCATCAGGGCACGGCATATGCCCATCAGAGGTAATTGCGAGCCCACGCTGAACAATGATGGCCCTTCAACGGCCCCTAATGGATCTACATTGACCCATGGGCCATGATGTGTCATGTATGCCCCTATGACAGGCCTACTCAGACCCCTGATGGACATTCCCGGCCTCTGATGACCCTATACTGAATGCTGATGGGGCTCTAAGTTTCTCCAATAACCCTTCGTCAACCCATTATTACCATACGCTGGCACTAGGGGCCCCACATCAGCCGCAGGGCAGTCCGTGCCATGACAGCATGTCTTTTCGGCCGATATTACATCGGTAATATTTATCAAAATCATGATTTTATGGTGTCATTATATAGCTAACAGTCATAAGAAATATATTTCATCTCGAAAACAGCTCCAAACAGCATATAATTTTAAAGAAACTCCTCCGAAATCCAAAAGCCTATTCGGGTCCATAGAGAATAACTGCGGTCCCCCGCAATTTCGTCACGAGCGTCGGACCAATCAGCGTCGAGTACTGCCGAGCGCTGATTGGTGAATTTTCCGCTAGCGTGTAAGTACTGCTCGCGGAACAAGAGTTCGTCGACAATCCTCCACAAACGTCTGTCACCATTTTTCGTAATGCTAAACAGCCGGAGCGTACCCCCCTGCTTGAGCCTGACGGCTACGCGCCCTAACCCACGAAGAAGAAGAAGTGTTCGTGTTATGTTCTGTATTGTTTCCAACACGATATTCTTTATCGTTCCATTGTCTTTCTTATACGCATTCTGATAGCGAATATTTGGAACTTCATCTACTTTTGGTAAGATTCTCTTGTTTCCAGAAATCTTGTCTTCAAAACAAAAAGAAGCTTGAATGAATTTTTAACATTTACCATGAATTCATTCTATCCATAGTTGATCACATGGACACAATAGCTTAACAATATATCAAATAATGTTACCATTGTTAGCAGGCATAGTCTAGCAATGCATTGATTCAAACCTATTCAGTATTTTAAAGGGAAATGACGTTTCCTTGTGTCAATAAGGGTTGAAGCTCAAGCTGGGTCACAGAAAGGCCTGTTTTGAAAAGGGAAAACCTAAGGTAGATAATGATAAATGAATAGAATCCCCTGTGTTTATTAGAGTATCTGGTCTCAATTCCATAGAAGGTTCAGGATCACAGCCTGCGTAACTCTAGGATCATACTGTGAGTACGGGAGAGAGGATTGTGATAATTATCAAATTATGGGATAGTACCTAACTGAAAATAGGTATTGTGATGAAGTTTTTGGCTAAATAAACTTGAAAAGAACTTACTTATATATTCATGAATGATAAATTCAGTCTGTTTTTTTAAGGATTTTAAATAAACCTTGTAATTCTTATGATGTTAACAACAATAAGGTTACTATTGTTTTGATTGATTCTAACAATGATAACTAATTTTTTGGCTGATAAGGTGAAAAATAGACTAACTGCGATAGACTAGCTGTGACCTTTCCCTCCAGAGTCCAAATGGTACAGACATTTACGGTTTTACCTAGTGTTACTGGTAACTGGCAGTTCAAGATGGCTAACACATGGCATAAGAAATCATAGTACACCCCATAGGTACCTACTGAAGTGTTAACAACCAATAACCATGGCTTCTAAAAACATTTTGTTATTTTGAAATTTGATTATTTTGAAATGATGAAGTCCTTGAGTATTGTAGAAATTCCCTTGCAAAACACCAAAAACCAGCCACTCTCCCTCCCCCTCTCCTACCGGCTCCTCCCCTCCCCCCGCCACGCGTTGGACACTGGGCCGGGCTGGGCGGCGGATCAGGCGACCGGTCAGCTGACCTGCCCCCGGGCGATAAGCACGTGACTGGCGTCCGCCCGCAGCCGCCGCCTGAGCCACGGAGAGGGCAGTCGCTGTCTGTTACCGGTTGGAGCCATATGTGTTCACGACTGATTTGTGCCTGAATTCACCTATTACAAACATACTCATCAAGAGATACCTACCTACGAGAACATCGAGAGGTCTACCTACGCGGTTCGTCCCGGCAAACCTACGCGGGGAAGTACCAGTGAGACCGACCAAATCACAGGACCGACGACTTCGAGACAAGACCTACGTCAAGGTAAGCCCGGCCTGTGTCTGTGGCGGTCCAACTTTCCCCTCGAATTCTCATCCCTACATCATTACCCTGTCAAAACCAACGTCAAATAATAATTTTCTGTGTGCCCCTCGTACAAATCCGTACATAGAATAACTGTGATTTGGTCGCAGAAAAACTGTTATTTGGCCCCAAACTGGGTTTGAGTTGAACTTGACGAAACAGATAGAAATAAACTGAAACAGCCATATTTAAACTGAGCTGCACAGTGCAAGTTACTCAATCTGTCACTGATTGCAAGATTGTTAAAACCTCAATATCAACTGTTATCAAACTGCATAGAATTGTCGTCTAACCTCAAGTGTAAGGATCAACGAGAATTGACCAGCTGATCTCAGGGAAGTTGTGAGCTAGTCTGACAGAGGAGGCTGACTCATCAACGTCAAGATCCTGCTGCGGTCTGGTCTTCAGCGTCAGCAACCTGCTGCAGCTGCTTCATCAACGTCAAGATCCTGCTGCAGTCTGGTCTTCAGCGTCAGCACCCTGCTGCAGTCGCTTCATCAACGTCAAGATCCTGCTGCAGTCTGGTCTTCAGCATCAGCACCCTGCTGCAGTCGCTTCATCAACGTCAAGATCCTGCTGCAGTCTGGTCTTCAGCGTCAGCACCCTGCTGCAGTCGCTTCAACATCAAGACCCTACTGCAGTCGCTTCATCAACGTCAAGATCCTGCTGCAGTCTGGTCTTCAGCGTCAGCACCCTGCTGCAGTTGCTTCATCAACGTCAAGATCCTGCTGCAGTCTGGTCTTCAGTGTCAGCACCCTGCTGCAGTCGCTTCATCAACGTCAAGATCCTGCTGCAGTCTGGTCTTCAGCGTCAGCAACCTGCTGCAGCTGCTTCATCAATGTCAAGATCCTGCTGCAGTCTGGTCTTCAGTGTCAGCACCCTGCTGCAGTCGCTTCATCAACGTCAAGATTCTGCTGCATTCTGGTCATCAGCGTTCAGCCTGCTGTCGCCTCATCTAGTATCACTACCCTGCATCCATGGAGAAGCTTCGGAACGCTCGAGCGAACAGTAAGCGTTCGTTCTCCAGAATCAACAGAGGCCTGTTACGGCACATCACAGACAAGGCTGAACCAAGCCTAGTCCAAGACTGCTGGGGAGAGTTGCAGACAGCGTGGTCCGATGTCGAACGGAAGCACAATGACTACGTTTCGCTGCTCTCATCTGAACAGGAGATGGAGAAGGAAGATACCTGGATGGACGAGATGTATGACATCTTCTCAACCACGAAGAAAGCCTTCTTCAGCTTCAATAACGAGACCATGAAGAATGTCAAGGAGGAAACCGGAACCAACGGGCAGAACATCAAACAGCCAGAGATCCAGAAGCTCAAGATGCCGCTGTTCTCCGGAACGCAAGATGATGTGATGTCGTTCAACGATTTTCTCAAGATGTTCGACGATCTCATCGGCAACAACTCGGCCTACAATCAATCGGCTAAGCTGATGTACTTGAAGAGTTATCTGCGTGGGAACGCGCTAGATACCATCAAACACTTGTCAACTGAAGAGAAAAACTACACCATCGCAAGAAAGTTCCTAACCGAGGAATATCTCGACACTGATGTCATCGTGGAGGAACACATCAGGAAACTCCACGACTTAACCCCACCACCTGCAAGAGATCTGCCAGCGCTGCGCGCGTTCTTCAATACTGCTCGCACCTCTGTGTATGAACTCAAGGCGTTTGGATACGACGCACTCGAAGACGGAACTCTTGGAAGCAAAATTGTCAGCTTCATCATCTGCGAAAAACTCCCAGTGAACTTCAAGGTAAAGTTGAGCGCAATCCTGCACACTGACTACCCTTCTACAAGACAACTGCTCGAGAACTTCAACGCCGTGATCAAGTCGTTGATGAAGACGACACCTGCAAAGCAAGAAACAAAACACACCACGGACCTCTCGTCGAAGCCGAAACAGCTCAAGACAACAGAGGTCGCCGGCTCAGCCAAACCAGCGAAGTCGTCACTACAACGATTCCAAACCAGTGCCGAGCCGATCAAGAAGACTCCCAGTCATTCCACATCGAAGTTCAAGGCGTGCAAGCTGTGCGAAGGTGCACACTCCATGCTGAAGTGTTCAGCGTACACATCACCTCGAACACGAATCCAACGCCTCAAAGACCTGGAGCTCTGCACAAAATGCAGTGGATCCCACAAGCTGACGGACTGCAAAGGCCAGACATCAGGTCTCTCGTATCCCTGCACGCTGTGTGGCAGCAAGCAACACATATCAGCAGTGTGTGTCGTCAAACCTGGAGAGACCACGCCACTGCAAAGTGGAATGCGTCTGATCTGCAACAGTCTACAAAAGGGCCAGACGGTCCTCCTCCCGTCCATGACGGTCATCATGCACAACGGCGAAAGAAGTGAGCTGGTTCGATGCATGATAGATGTGGGCTCGCAAGCGTCATACATCAGCGAAGAGTTGGCAGTGAAGCTTGGTTGTCCACTGGAGGCACCCAAGACAACATACAAAGTCAAAACGTGCATCGGCGTACAGGAAAAGAACTACAGAACGGCTACGTCCGACATCATCTTCACTCCAACCGCTTCGGCCCACCACTGCTTCCTGGTTGATCCAGAAATGAGTCTGGAGTACGAGATCCCTGGCGTGACGTCCCTGGTGCAGTTCCTGAGAGCCAAAGGAGTGCGTCTGGCCGACTCGTTCTTCAGTCACAGCACCAACGACGTCATCGGTGGCTTCGAATGTCTGCTAGGAGCGGACATCATCGGTGCAATCAAGCCCATGAGAAGTGTAGATCTTGGGACAGGTACTGCCTTCGAGGTACAGGACGGCCTCATCCTCTTCGGAAGCGTCGACGGATACTTCGAGCAGCTGACCCTGAAAGACAACACTGAACATGATGAAGGCACAGACGAAGCTCACGGTGAAGGTGGACCGAGCGACTCAAACGAGCAAGAAGACGATGGCGGAGACAGTTCTCGGAGCGATGACAACGGTTCCGGTGGACGGTCATCACCACTACCAGGCAACGTGAACACAAACAACTCAAACATCAACAGCGTCAAACGCAGCACTCAAAACAGTGGCAACAGGTCTCAGCAAGGAGATTCCTGCATGCTACAAGGCACGGACATTAAGCGACCAGTCAACATGGAACCGAAGTTGACAGACAAAGAAACTCAAGCAGATGCTACAAACGAACAACACACACAAACACTCAGTTCGGACACAGCTGAGGCACAAACTCAAACCGACACACACTCTACCGTCGAACAACAACCACAAGTCCTCCGTCAGGGGGCAGTCGAACAACAAACTCAAACTCAAACGCAAACAAACAAAACAACAAACTCGAGACAACGTCTCAAAAACTCAACAGCCGATCTCCCTGTTCCAGACAGATCTACACGTGGGAAACAGGAAGGTGAGACATCGACACATCTGTTGGTGCAGGCAACACTACACCCTAAAACTTCATACTTCCACCCACTGGCCCACGTATCAAGTGACAGTGACGTGGATCTCCAGCTTGAGCATCTCTTCAGCATCGAGAGCCTTGGCATCCGAGAGACAGATGAAAGTGTCTCGGCTCGAGAGCGCAGACTGGTGGAGGAATTCTCCAACGAGGTGGAGCTGAGGGACGGCAAGTACTTCGTCAGGGTGCCGTTCTACGACAGCGTCACCAAGGTTCCTGGAAACCACGACGTAGCTCTCGCGACAATGAAGAAGGTGCGAAACAAGCTCGCCAAACGCGGCCTCGCAGATTCATACACCGCAGTCTTCGAGCAGCAACTCAGAGACGGCATAATCGAAGAGGTCGATTACAACAAACCAAGTACCAACCAGAGGGTGTTCATCCCGCATCACCCTGTGGTGAAAACCGATGCACAAACCACTACAAAAATCCGTCCAGTCTTCAACTGCAGTTTGAAGATCGGAGATCGGCCATCACTCAACGAAGCCTGCTTCAGAGGTGTCGACCTGCTGAACGACCTGGTCACCCTCTTGATGAGGTTCCGCACAAACAAGCACATTCTTCTTGCTGACATCGAGAAGGCGTTTCTGCAAATATATCTGAAGTACGAAGAGGACAAGGACAAGTTCTGTTTCCTCTGGGAGACGGATGACGGTCTGAAGATGTACCGCTTCCGTACCATCCTCTTTGGCCTCAACTGCTCACCGTTCATTTTGAGCCACATCATCCAGATTCATCTGTCCAAATACTCGACAATGATGGCGGCTACAGCGCTCAAGGAGTCGCTGTACGTGGACAACTTCATATTCTCGACATCCGACGAAGGAAAACTTCTAGACATCTACCGCGACGCCACCCAGATTATGAAAGAGGGAGGTTTCAACCTCAGGAGCTGGATGTCCAACTACTCTCCACTTGTCGACATCATGATGTCTGACAACATGGTCAACGAGCACGGCGCCGTCACAGAGAAGGTGCTGGGATACTCGTATGACGCCAAACAAGATACAATATCACTATCCGACTTCAACTTCGAAGAAAACCAACAGGGCATCACAAAACGTCAACTTCTGAGCAACATCAGTAAGGTCTTCGACCCGCTGTCTCTTGCACTGCCAGTCACCATCAGGGGAAGAATCCTCATGAAGCAGGTGTGGACCGAAGGGACAGCATGGGACGAAGACGTGTCGCCGGCTGTGCTAGCCGAGTGGCAGCGACTGAAGAAGGATCTCCTGTCTTTGCGTGAGTTCCAGTTCTCAAGAGAAACCGGTGACACCGAAAGTGGCCAACCAACAGACCTCCATCTCTTCTGCGACGGGAGCAAGACGTCCTACGGGTTCGCTTGCTATCTGAAGCAGGAGGGCTCAGACCCTCAGCTGGTCTTTGCCAAAAGCAAGCTCGCCCCAGATAACAGAAGCATACCACAGATGGAGCTGCTGGCGGTGTTCCTCGCTCTGAAGTGCCTGCCACTCATCATCGACTCCATCAACGCTTCCATCCGTCACGTCCGTCTCTGGAGTGACGCACAGGTGGTGCTCGAGTGGCTTGCATCTGGATGCAAGTCAAAGAGCAAGTTCACTGCAAACCGTCTTGAAGACATCACAGCCATGAAGTTGAAACTCCATCATCAGCATCAAGTTGAAGTCACTCATCACTACGTTTCTACTGACAGCAACGTGGCTGACATGCTCACACGGGGCCTGTCTGCGAAGGAGTTCCACAGGAAGCTGGCCGTCTGGTGTCACGGACCAGACTGGCTGGGAGATCATCCTGAGCAGTGGCCCAAGAGTCCTCTTCACTGCCTGTCGGAAGAAGGGAAAGTCATGGTTGAGCTCCAACAACATCATCAACAGGTGGAGATCAACACTGAAGCACAAACGCCCGCGACTCAGACTATTCTCAGCATCAAGGACTTCTCTTCTCTTCGAAGACTGCATGGGGTGACGGCTCGAGTGTTTCACTTCGTGAACGTGCTGAAGCACAGGGAGGCTGATGCCAAGGAGCAAGCAACACACTACTGGTTGAAGGTGATGCAGGAGAATGCGTTCACTGAAGAGATCAGCTACCTGCAAGACAAACAAGAGAACAAGTTAGTCAACTCAGCCTCAGTACCCAAGCTGGTGAAGGAATTGAATGTCTTCATAGACAAGTCAGGTCTGCTAAGATGCAGAGGATGCTTGTCGAAGCTCAACCGATACTCATACGCTGTACACAATCCCATTCTCCTGGATAAAACCCATCGGCTGACAACGCTCATGATTGAAGATCAACACCGACGATGCAAACATCTGGGAGTCGGCACGACGCTCACAGAACTGCGAGAGCACGGGTACTGGATCCCAAGTGGTCGTCAAGTCGTCAAGCGAGTTCTGAAGGACTGCATCACGTGTCAGAAGCTGAACGCGTTGGCTTTCGAGTACCCGAAGATGACGAACCTCCCAAGAGAACGAGTCAGTCTGATCAAGCCATTCTGCAACACAGCAATCGATTACACTGGACACATCTTCGTTGAAGACACGAATGGAGAGATGAGGAAGATGTACATTGTACTGTACACCTGCCTTGCCATTCGCTGTGTACATCTCGACCTTGTCCCCGACTTAAGCCTGGGTTCGTTCCTGCAGTCATTCAGACGATTCTGCAGCACATACGGCGTGCCAGAGTTCTTGTATACCGACAACGCTAAACAGTTCCTGGCAAGCCAGAGGGTATTGATCAATGTATTCACATCAGACGAGTTCCAAGAATATCTTACTGAACAAAGCATCAAGCACAGCACCATCCCGGTTTACGCCAGCTGGGTTGGCGGAGTCTACGAGAGACAAATCAAGACGGTAAAGCACTGCTTATACAAGACAGTAGGAAGAGCCAAACTTGGTTACTTCGAACTCCTCACACAGCTCAGCGAGATACAAAACATGGTCAATAGCCGACCGATCACTTACGTCTACAGTGAGATTGATGATATCGAGCCGTTGACACCCAACAAAATACTCAAGCTACACACAAACCCGAGACTCCAGCTGGTGGACAGTTCACACGCAACTGACCCGCTGTGGGTTTCGACGCCTCAAGATGTTCACCAACAACTCAACAAAACCCTGCACGAGCAGCAGCATCTTCAAGAGCACTACAAGAACATGTGGTACCGTGAGTACTTGCTTGGTCTACGCGAGAATTCGCGAGACCTATTCCACACAGACTGGGATGACAAGATTGCTGTCGGTGATGTCGTCCTCATCAACACCAAGAATAAGCCTAGAATGTTCTGGCTGATGGGAAGAGTCCTACAGCTTCTGCATGGAGATGACGGACGTGTGCGTCAAGTGCTCTTGAAGACGAGCACAGGACGCACTGAACGCTACGCCATATCGCACCTCTACCCGCTGGAGCTACAGAGTACCCACACAGGTCAAGACAGCACAGATGGCAGCACCAGGTGCCCTGATGAGCCGACTACGCACAACACCGAGACCGAGTCAAGCCCAGAGACCTCAGAGAGGACTGCGAGACCTCCACGAAGAAGGGCAGCCATCAAGCAAACCGAGATGGTCAAGTCCCTGCTACAATTAGGCAGCATCTAATCAAACTGTCAAACGAATGCTAAACCCTGTTTAGCATCAGTCCGTGGGAGGGTGTAGAAATTCCCTTGCAAAACACCAAAAACCAGCCACTCTCCCTCCCCCTCTCCTACCGGCTCCTCCCCTCCCCCCGCCACGCGTTGGACACTGGGCCGGGCTGGGCGGCGGATCAGGCGACCGGTCAGCTGACCTGCCCCCGGGCGATAAGCACGTGACTGGCGTCCGCCCGCAGCCGCCGCCTGAGCCACGGAGAGGGCAGTCGCTGTCTGTTACCGGTTGGAGCCATATGTGTTCACGACTGATTTGTGCCTGAATTCACCTATTACAAACATACTCATCAAGAGATACCTACCTACGAGAACATCGAGAGGTCTACCTACGCGGTTCGTCCCGGCAAACCTACGCGGGGAAGTACCAGTGAGACCGACCAAATCACAGGACCGACGACTTCGAGACAAGACCTACGTCAAGGTAAGCCCGGCCTGTGTCTGTGGCGGTCCAACTTTCCCCTCGAATTCTCATCCCTACATCGTTACCCTGTCAAAACCAACGTCAAATAATAATTTTCTGTGTGCCCCTCGTACAAATCCGTACAGTATTTGCCCTATTAAAATATGCAGGACTTTTGGTTTACTTTGTAAATGTGGACGTGGAGGATGGTAGTTCAAGCATGGGAACATTGCTTGCCTGAAATTTTATTAGGTACATTCACAGATAACAGTAGTACTGGATTGGAAACAGAATATTGGCAGTTGCAGTAAGAGGCCGAATGTTTTTATGCGACGGCGCCAAAATGGGATTCTCGCGTGCTGCTGGGTGGATAATTTGTGTGTTGTGTATTGCAAAAATCATCATTTTTTGTGTTTTGTCGTTTGCATTTAAAATCGAAGCTACCAATGTTACTTTCATTTGCTTAAAGAATTAAAGTATTTCACTTTTAATTTGATAATTTAGAGGGCACAATGCGTGGTGTTTTCTTTTGAAAAAAATTGTGGTGCAAAGCCTTAACGTATAAGTACATCAACAATGGAGGAGGGGAATGAGCGGTAAAAAACTGCCGTTTGGCTACAACCCAACGAACCAAGAGGAACAAAAGATTAAAACAGGAGATGTCTCACATGCCACTTATTCGCTTTTCTCACCGAAACACCTCTACGGGCTCAGTGGGTTGGCGCCATGGGTCACCGTGACCGGGCTGAGTGGGATCAGGACTATTCCGCTGTGTGTGAGCTGCATTTCAGAAAGGAAGATTTCGAAGATGATCGGTCATTTCGCACCGGCATGCAGAGACCGCGCCGTCGGCTCAAGAGCGGCGCAGTCCTGTCAGTGTTGACCAGCGTGGATTACGCGATGCCCCCTGTGCACGAGCGGCCAGCGAAACTAGCCATAGCATCGGCACGCCACTCACACCAGAAGCATGTTATGAAGGGCCAGACCGATACGTTCTTCACGAATGACAATATCAGCTATCAGGTGGCAACTACAACTGGTCGAGTGTCCGACAGTTCCTGGAGGATGAGGCGGTACTCCGAACTAAGGGCCTCAGATGGTGGTCACTGGTCACGTTTCAGCCCCGCCGACGCCTCCGCCCGAATGGCACCATCACGGCAGGAGTGACAGCAGGATGGTGCTCTTGTCATCCAGGAGCTAGTGGCCGCGGTGGCGAAATCCACTGAATTGGAGGACCTGGATGACAGCGCCAAGGCCTCCCTGGTACACAGCTCCGGCACCTTGGCACGCTCGGCCACCAGGCGTAACAAGTAACGTTGCCTCCGCCAGCGTGCTGATCTATCATGGGGCTACGCCGCTGGAGGTACGACTGGAAAAAGTCGAGGAAGACATCGACCTCACCGTGAGGATCTGCCATATTTGGAGGCAACTGCCGAAGACGGAAGCTAACAGGAACCAGCTGCTGGTCTGCGATCAACCAAGAAGTGACGCAGAAGTGACGAAGATAGTCGTACACCGGGATGTCGAACTGACCGGAAGTCGTTTGCAATGATAGCCACGACGTCCTTAGGAGCATCCTTCCAGAGATGTATGCGACGGTTTTCAATCTATTCGCTGGAAAGTGTGGAAACATGGTAACTGATAAGTGAGACAGACAGTGCTGTCTATCGAAAGTCAGAAAGCCACCCCAGCCACTGGTGCAACCCGATCGAGGAGCGACAAGAGGCCAAAGCTCAGCAGGGTCAAGAAGATGTAAGGCGGGGAAGTAAGGTTGCTGATGAAATTGGGAGGGCAGGCGAAGCAAAGTGACACTTGAAGGGGTGTTTTGTGACGTTTGTTTGAATTGTGACGTTTGGATGGTTCGTTGTGACAGGACTGGTGTCGATTAGCATGTAAATAAAGAGATCAAACTCCCATGTACAAGTACTTTTTGTTGATGAGAGTGAGAAATCATAATCAAACTAGAGGGACAGCATTACGCGCAGCGTAATGAATCGATTTTCAATAATGTATTGAATGGTCGGTTTTGCCATGATCAAATAATTAAATATGGTGATGAAATTGACCAGTAACATGGCAGTAAGATGTATTTTTAAATAACAAAATGAGGCCGAAAATATAGAACGAGCTTTCGTCTTACGACATCATCGGGTTCTGGCTTAGCCGAGGCAATCACATTTGAAAAATTGGAATATTTGATTTTCAATAAAATCGGCCCAGTAGCGGCCGAGTTATGGCCAGAATAAATTTGGCGTCTCCTCCTGGCCGGCGGTGCTCTGTTCCGGTATTCATTGCCAAAGGTCAGTGACCCCCAGTGATGTTTCCGCTCATGGTTTTGCAAGCGAAGAAACTGAGGATAATGCGCGTGCCGTCTGATCGGCGCCGGCCGCGGCCCAAAATGCCGCAAAGATGCGCCCGCCACGTGCAAACCGGCGAGCGCACCCCCTCGAAAAGTTGATACGACAAACAGATGCACGCGTCCGACTTGCGCCCAAAATTTCACCCCCGTAGCCCGCACCGTTCCGGAGCAATAGCCCGCCAAGTGTGACTGACGCGTCACATACATACATACATACATACATACATACATACGGAACTCCCATGTACAAGTACTTTTTGTTGATGAGAGTGAGAAATCATAATCAAATCAGTGGCATACGTTCCCTCACCACGGTGAGGAAATTGCAACCAGCAACGTTTAGTAAAATAAGTTGCCATTATGCAAAAATGCAACAATAAACACGAGCACGGCTAGATTGCTTCTTTATAAGTTTCATTCACAATCGCATAAACTAATCTTGTTTGTTGCCTGTGAGAGGAGATATCGAAGTCTGGGCACGAAATATTTGGTTCTGTTTTCGGCCTCTTACTGCAGCCGCCGGAATCCTGTTTCCAATCCAGTACTACTGTTATCTGTGGTACATTTCATGTTGTCATGCTAGCTCATTTCAATTCAAAGATGCAAAGTAAAAATGATGAACATCTTAAACAAAACATCTAGCACATTGTGTGACTTGTGATCCCCTGCCAAAGCTGTAAATAATGTTAACTTTGCTCCCTTCTCGCTTCCAGGCTAAGAAGTGGAAGTCATGAACAGATCAGTAGATCCAAAGAAAGTGGTAAGTGAAACATCAAGTATGTAGGTGAACTGTTTAGGGCTGAAAGTGATGTAGTCATTAATGTTATGTGTCTGTTGTCATAAAAGATCTGAATGTCTGCATGTTGTTTTGCTTAAAATCATTTGGGAACAGCTATTTTCAAACGAAATAAGAAGGAAATTGGCATGCTTTTCATGTATGTCAGTCTTGGAACCTAAGTTGTATGTGAAAATCCCTTTCATATTTTTACAACACACTGTATTTTTTTTTTTTTTTTTTTGCAAGATTGGCATTCAGTTGTCATTAAAAAAGGACTTATCAATCCTGACTAGATCAATCTTCACAAGATGAATATTCACATTGATGCATGGTATTGCCACCATAGAGATCTTATAATATAAGATCTCTATGATTGCCACAATATGGTTATTGGTAAGGGTCTTCTCCCAATGTCTTTTAGAGAATGTTCATAGTTATGCAGCATTGTGTTCATAAAAAAACAATATGTCACTGGCCTAGCTTATTCGCCAATGGTGCTGGCTCGATGGGTTGCCTGAATTTTGGAAACTTGTCAGGACAGGAACATGTACACTGTATTTAGCCTCCAATTCGTGCACAGTGACCTGATTATACCCTATCTCAGAACACTGACCTGTTTCTGTTCGCTGGTCAGCTCCAGCTCTGTTAATCTGGCTCGCCTGTTTGACAGAACTCTGAGCTGTTCACGCTCACGTACGGGGCGCTGGTAGTGCAGCTGCTGAACGATTTGGAGAGTGTGGAGGACGTCAACAAGCACTTGGACCGGATGGGCTACAACATCGGCGTGCGCCTAGTGGAGGACTTTATCGCGCGCAGCAGTGCCGACAAGTGCTACGACCTGCGGGAGACGGCCGACAAACTGCAGGTATGCAGGACTGGTCACACCACCAGGCAGGCAGACGAACAGACAGGCAGGCTAGCTAACTGCTGGTGCGCCACACTCGTCACACATACAGGCAGACAGACAGCTCAGGCCTACAGATTCGCCTGTCACCGCTGCTCACACAGGCAAACCGACGTAACGTAACGTGTTCACGTAAGGTGGCATAACAGTGCACTACGGTGTGAGGCTTACTGGGGTGTCAGTCGCCACTCATTGTTACTATGCGCTGCTCCATTGTGTATTCGTGAAGTCGTTACATTTGGTCGGCCATTCGAAGTCTGTACGATTATCGACCTGTACTGCCTGGTTGTTATGTCGCCCCGCTTTGTCGGGTGTATTACACACGGTATTAGCTGATATCGGCACTTCCCGCGGGACACGGTGTATGTTTGCACCCTTCCCTCCCCCGGGGATCTGTCCCGCTATTACCGGCTGCATTGCGAAATGTCGCCGGACACCACTGTCAGCGAGTCTGTTGGCTGAGGCTGGAATCGGCCCGAGCGCTGCATACCGCGGAAACCTGTGTATTTTGTGACAGACGCGTCGATCAATCCTAATTGGAGGAAAAATATGTGGGCAGTTTGATTATACTACGATGCTTATGAATCGTAACAGAGTTTCACGGTGAATCTACAGTCCACTGGAGGTGACCTGCCTTACTGTCTGCTCGGCACCACTTCACATCAGTAGATGACCGCCCTTAGATTTGACCGTCTTTTGAAAGACTAAGAATAGCCAATAACCTCTCACTGCGGATTGCTGAATAACCGTCGAATGCAGTCGAGTATCGTGTACGTTTGAGAATCCCTGGTTAGCATCTTCGTATTACGAAGTCGCCTTTGGTTGTGTTAACCGTCGATATTTAAATGCTCTTTTCGGTCATTCGGCTACTTGTGGAGAGCAGCGCCAGTTCCCTTAGTTTCGATCCCGAACGCTAGATGGCAGCAGCGGTTGGCGCCTGAATGTAGGCTGTGCCGCACTACGCTACTTACACTGTTCTTTGTCCAGCTTCTGCTGTGGAAGCCCTGGCGGCGACATTTCACTAGCCAACGTTATGTGCAGCCTGTGATCGATGGTGATGGCTCCTCGTGTGAACGGACCTCAATGTGCGATAGGAAATATTCTGTTACGATGTGTTCCCAATGCGAGACAGTATGGCTGCTTCTTACAAACTATTTGAAAACTTCTTCATTGCGAAGCTTCTTTAAAGATCTTCATACGCTCGATACTGTATGTGCAATGTGCATTACTTACCCTTCTCCCATTCTCTTTTGAATATTTGATAACATTTAGTGTATTTATTGGACGACATAGGTGCAAATAACTTTCATCTCCGCCTGACATTGTCGGACACTCTAAAATGCCGTAATTTCCACGAGAGTCGTCTCACCCACCCATCCACCCCACCACAGGCGGCGTTCCGTATGTACCTGGGCATCTCTCCGAGTATCGCCAACTGGGCGCCGGCGGGTGACGAGTTCTCGCTGATGATCGACACCAACCCGCTGACGGAGTTTGTCGAACTGCCCGACACGTGCAGCAACATGAGATACTCGGCCATTCTGCCGGGCATGGTGCGCGGAGCCTGCGAAATGGTGAGACGCGGGAAGAGGGAGGGAGAGAGGGAGGGAGGGAGAAGGGAGTGGAGAGAGACGTAGTGTTTTTTGCCATCCCGCTTTTGTAGCACGTTTGGAAGGTAGAAATATGCGTGACCAGGCTGTTTGGGAATTGACAGATAAAACTGAGATATCTTCGAGATCTAAAATGATCTATCCTGGCAAATTTGCAAAGCGCTGAAGATTTAGCACGAAAATCTACAAATTATTGTCTTCTCAAGAATCAGTTATTTTTTGTCTTTCTTTTCGCCTCCATGTGGTAAGTCCTCGTGGTTCCAGGCAGTGTGCGAACAATTTAGGTTTACCATTGCCAGTGTGGTATTATGTATTGCGGCACTCGGCACCTGTTATTAGTAATCACTAGCTAAATTATGCTTTTCAATCAGCAACAGGCTTACTGTGACGGCTCACTATTCAGACATTGTTTACGCATTTGCTTGCTGTCTAGCTCAGTACCTACCCTTTCATGTGACCAGTGCCGGGTCATGATCACTCGATGTATAATTTACGCCTAATTTCCACCCAGCTAACGAGGTAATTACTGTATGACACAGCTCCTGCCATGTCTGCTCGCCGAATCGTTATTGACGATGGTGTACCGTAGTGGGATATGCGTATCACTATCGACGGAATATTATTCCACGCCGTGCCGTTAGCTGACGTCGACTACGATTAGTATTTCTGGTGTGTTTGTTTATGCGTGTGTGGGAGCGATGATTTGGCCGCAGAGTGGCAGTTCTGGTGCTCGTAGCTCATGTATGTGCTTTTTGTCTTCTGCGTTGATTTCTGCTAAAAATATGTGCTGAAAATCGCGGTCGTAGCCTCTGCTTAACTACAAGGATAAAAGAAACAAAAAATAAATATTATGTTTGCTCAGATGCGAGGCACAGGATATCCTTGTCCCCGCTCTAAACATTTGTTGTCCTCAAACTCCCACCCTTTTCCCGGGGTTCGCAGTTCCCTGTGAAGTGACTGCTGATTACAGCGGTGTTTGGCGCCCCTCCTGTTTCACAGGTGCACCTGGAGGTATCCTTCTCTGTGAAGTGACTGCCGACTACAGCGGTGTTTGGCGCCCCCCCCCCCCCCCTGTTTCACAGGTGCACCTGGAGGTATCCTTTTCTGTGAAGTGACTGCCGACTACAGCGGTGTTTGGCGCCCCTCCTGTTTCACAGGTGCACCTGGAGGTATCCTTCTCTGTGAAGTGACTGCTGATTACAGCGGTGTTTGGCGCCCCCCCCCCCCTCCTGTTTCACAGGTGCACCTGGAGGTATCCAGCTGGTTCGTGCAGGACCAGCTGCGGGGCGATCCCGTGACAGAGCTGCGCGTCAAGTTCATCAAACGGCTCGAGGACTCGGTCCCTCCGGGCGAGGACTAGTGGGAGGACTGGTGAGTGCCCGGGACTGTGAAAGCCCAGCTGCGGGTCGGTGAAAATAGGGACAGCAGTTCGCTGAGGACAGGGAAAGGGTGAGGAAAAGGACGTCAGGATAGCCCGGCCTGGCGAGAACAAGTTTTGCAGTCTATTGCGAAGACGATCGGTGATCCAGGACGACTGTTGGAGTGTGGGAAGGTGACTGGAGCGAGGTGTTTCTGGCTAGGATGACTGGTATTGTGGGCCGGGCGTGGCCTGGCACGGCGTTCCTGCCTGCTGGAGCTCAGCGTTCCTGGCTGCTGGAGCACGGTGTTCCTGGTCGGATGGCACACCTTGTGCGGGCATCATTAGATGTTCCGAGAAAGAGAAGGACCGATGCCCGGTTGGGGCGCTGTCATGTGAATTTGACGGCGTTTTGTCACCTCAGTTTGATGGTTAATCTAAACGAATGTGGGCTGCTGTCTGTTGTATACAGTATTGGATATACTGCCAATACTAACTAAATGAAATATTATTCTGCTTGAACACTGGACAGTGTGGCCTGAGGCCTCTACCTAGTGCAAACTGAGCGTGTTTAGAGGCTAATACGGCTGCGTATGTTGTCCGTTGTTTGTTACAAAAGACGGACGACAGGTTTGAGTCATTCCATTAGCGGTGATTGGGCTATGGGTGTGCTGATGTGCCTGGCGTGGTGATGGCCAATGGAATGTTCCTGACCTTCGGGGCTCAGCCCGCTCGATTGTCAGTGATGTGGCCTTTGGCGCCCAGGAAGACCCCCATTCATAGGTAACGGTCTTATTGGCTGTTTGCAGACCTTTGCCCGCATGGAGCGAGTCTGTGGGAGGGCAGTTACTAGCCTTTGTTTATTGTATGCTGGAACTGGCATGCCGTTTTTTGCACACATGGCACCGTTAAGTTTGTTTATTCAGCGTGTATAGACAGTTAGGTTGTGCAGTTGTGCACTTTATATGCATACCGTATCTCGCTATCGGATGGGTACCTTCAGTTCGTTGTATTTGTCTGGAATTGCAACATCGTTCCGGGGCCTGCAGTGAAACGAGACCTATTTGAAACTTGCATTGTTAATACTATCTAGCAACCATCCATTGTATCATGCAATGGGATCGGGACAGCTGCTTCTCAATTCGCCGCCAATAAATCTCGAGAATTTACAGTTTGATTTTTGTTACGCAGGTAGCTGCACGTTGCGCTGGTTTTCGAATACACTATTGATGAAACTAAATCGCTCCCTGAGTTTCGTCGGCTGTGATGTGTATCGCAGGTCCTGTTCAATTAGTGGGCGAGCCTGCCTCACTTTCAGGAAAAGTTAAATGTCCTTCGACGGTGAAGAAGAATTAGCTACTCTACTTGATTGGATCATCAGATGAGGCTCTGATAATGGTTTTGTCGGTTTAGCGCTGTCTTCGTGATAGCATTTCACCGGTCTGCTATCGACATTGACTCGCTAAATGTGTAAAATTTCGTTATTAGACACTGCCTTGGTGTTTCAGCGAAAACCGCGCACTTTGAATTGCTGCTGAAGCATTCATAAATAGCGCTGGGTTGTACATGACATCGGTAAGGGGCCGCACTTTATTCTAGTAAAGCAAACAACCAGTGCGGTACCCGTGAACTGAATGCAAGCTGCCGGCAGAATGATTAATAAGTTCTGGCATGGATAATAAGTGTGAAGCTGTATGCATTTGGACGCCTGGCTCGCTGTCTCAAAAAGTACCTACGACCAGAATAAGTTCGCTTGTGTGGCGGTGGCGCGGAACGGATCTGTAGTTTCGAAGACACTGCACATCTGGCGTGATTCTCCGTAATACTGCGAGCTCATTTTTAATAGCTTCAAGCTCAATTTGAATAGCTTTGCACGCATGTCGTAGTGGTAGTTTTAATAATTTCAGACAAGTCAACTGTGTGTGTCACGTTCCAATGTTGATAAAAGGCGGACATACAATTCAGGTGACCTCACGCAAGAGGCTTGAAGTGTAAAGCGTAAATGAACGCTTAATGAAGCACCCTTCTGAAACCATAATCGTGTGTTTTGTGGCATCTAGAACTTTGCTATTAATCTTAGCTCTTGTCATGTCTTTTGTCATTATGCATAGACCTCTGTATACCTACTGGACTGAACACTGAAAATCTGGCCATGACCACAACGGTCCTAAAAGTAAACGCTTATACATAGCTCGAAAGTCAGTTTACCTACGACGTCCCTCTTTTCGCTGCCGCATAGCCCCATTCATTGAAATTGATGGGCACCATCCGCCGAACCGATGCTGGGTGATGAGGGAGCACCTGCACGTGGCGCGTGAGAGATGTTTATGAAAATGGTGTGACAGTATCTCGGGAACGGCTAGGCCGAATGAGTGTCGATTTGGAACACAGCTAAGTATAACACACTTGTCAATAACGCATGTCCCAATTTTGAGGTGCCGATGTACGTGCGCTCGTGCACATCCCTTTTTTGTATCTCAGAAAGTACGCGTCCGACTCGATACAGAGGTCTATGCATTATATCATTGTCATTATGTGCTCATGTCATTAATTCTTAGCTCTTGTCATTTGGGAAGCCCAGCGACGATAAATAAGCATAATAAATGCAGTCTAGCCCTCTAAAAACAAAACAATCATCATCCAAAGCATGACCAAAGCATTTGTCATTTCATGCGGGGGCTATGGCCATGCTATCTTGACAACTCAGACGCCTCTCGATTATGCATACTTGTCCTATGGAAATTAGCTGACCGGGTTCTTGCAGGTCGACAGAAGAGTCGTGTTGACCTTTATGTTGGCGGTCTTGCTACAACAGCACAACGATTATCGACGGTCGTCACCTTTATGGAAAAACAACCTCTGATGCTGAGCATTTCTCAAAGTGAAGGATATGTTACGGCTCCCCGGTCGCGAATGAGACAGCTAATGTAACCGCGACCTATCCGGTAGCGCCATAGCCAAACTCCCCACTCGCAGTCTGGTCATCCTGCCGCTAGGTGTCACTACTATGCATTTCAGACCCATGAGACCCTGTTTTTCGGCGATAATTTATTTAATATTTATCCAATTGGCTTCAAATTTTCGCACAGCACATTTCAGCTCAAGCGCCAATTTTCGCTAATATGGTCTCTTTACAAAATATCAATTGTTAGGGTACTTGTCGTTGCCTCGTAATGTTAAAATCAGCTCCGTAAATCCGACAGTGGAGTAGAGGCTATCCGTACCTAGGCGTGACGTCACAGGCACGTGATCATTAAGCTCCGCCCTCCCGGCGGACGGAGCGGTGACCTTGGCCGGTCAGTCGGATGCGTGGAGCCGACGGGGCAGTAGCCGCCGCACCCAAGGCCGTATGCCGGACCGGGGCGGCTCGCATTGGACGTGGCTGCCTTGCGGTTGCCGTTGCAGTAATAACGATACAGCAGAAACTAGCGCTCGTTATAAGCGCACTAGCCTTCGGTATTGCATTTATCGCAAATTAACCTGCACCTTGTCAATCAATAAAGATATATATACTTTAATACTAAGTTCAGGGCTAGTGACTGCATTTTTGCTTGATTGAACGTCATTAAAAAAGGCCGTTGATGTCAACTGACTGTGAACTGATGCAAGACGTCGGTCAGCCTACGTCAAATTTGCAAGACATGGTAAACAGTTAAACCGTAGCATTTAAGAAGTGTGGTTAAAATATGAAATATATTATGCTTATGCGTATGCTTGAGATGGATTCATGTGATTGAACACCTTCAGAACTAGCCCATTTTATAATTGGCTAGATTGAGGTCAGCGGACTGACTTGACCCCAGGCTTTCGTGTTGAACTGCAAATAATTAAGATACCTGTAAGCAAGTACCCTACCGCCTCACTATTAGAGAGCTTGAAATGTTACTTCAGTTTCACAAAAAGACGCCATTTCTTTACTAGCCTATGCGCTTGTTTCCCTTATTCTGATATCACATTTCTATTTTCTACCATGCGCAATAAATCGCAACATCACATTTCTGCTCCCTTCTCAATGCTTCCTGAATAACGAACACAGCTCGTGGAGCGATGTCTGACGCAATCGGAAGTGCTCGCGACTAATAATCCTACTCTGTTTTTTTTTCTGCATAGTTAGGTATAACAGCGTCTTCAGAAACAGCAATTGACGCAGCCAGCCACATCGATATTTTCGAGTAGTGCAGAGGCTTCGCATGATGTCATAGGTGACAGAATAGTGGCACGACCTGACCATGAGGTAAGCGCCAGAATGTGCATTCATTCAGATATTCAGATAGTGCATGACTCAGCAGTCAGCTCCCTATTTAATGTTGGTTCTGGTGAGGTTAATATCCTTATTTTGATTATTCTTCATATTCTGAGCTGGATCGGTATTGATATACCAAAAAGAGAGAAGCGGTTACCAACTCCCCCAAATGAAGAGCAAGCTTTCGCTCAGCCACTTCCTGTCGATTCCATGTATGTTTCCAGTGCACGGCCCCCGTGCGACCTCTCCGCGGTGCTGCCGCCGACTGAGCCTGCATAGACCCAGCGCGGTCACGGCCAGTGGGCGGAGCTTAGTTGGGCCCGGCGCAACGTGATTGGCCAGCGCTCCCATCCAATCCGCTGCGGTAGCGAACGAGCCTCTATCCGGGTGCAAAATCTAATTAGCATTACGAGCCAATGACAAGTGCTCTAAATATTGACATTTTGTTAAGAGACCATATTGATGAAAATTGGCGCTTGAGTTGAAATGTCCAATGTCAAATTTTCAAGCCAATTAGACAAAAACTGAAGAAATTATCGCCGAAAAACAGGGTCTCACGGGGTCTGAAATACATAGGTAGTAGTAGTGAGCGCCTGAAGTTATGCTGTACCGCAGGGCATGTGAGGAAAACCCTCGCAGGCGTTTCATTTGAATGCCTACATTTCAGCTTTCCCCCAAAGAAGAGCTTCTAGAAGTAGGTACTCAACGTGCACTTAAATGCAGACAAATTATCATTGTTAACCCGCGCCCCACTGGGGGGCTATTTATAGCCCCCCCTCCCGTTTTTCTGCAATAACTTCCAAACCGCTTGACGTATCGACGCATAACTTTCAGTACCTTCGGCTGCATCAATTTGACACCTTGTGTCAAAATTTGAACTTCATACCTACCATAGGTCGGCCGGAAATGACGTCAGAGTGACGACATGTTCGGTCGATTTCGACGCAAAACATTGAACCACGGCAATCGCTCCCAAGAGCTCAGTTTTTAAGCTAGATCCAATTTCTTTGCATGAGAGGACTCAGAATAGACTGCGCTATCAAACTGCTATCACGGATTTTCGAAATTTTGAAAATTTTGAAAATATTAAATAATAAAATTCCAAATTTATATTTTTACATTTTTTCAAAAAGTTTTTGACTTTTCGAAAAAACCGGAATATATGTGATAGAACGCATTATTATGACTACCTCTAGCAAGTTTTAGCTAAATATCTTCAAAAATGGCCAAGTTATACGCATTATTGCAAAAAATTAACAATTATTAATTTTTCAAATCAATTTTTCAGCACGAATTGCACATCGTACGCCAACATAAATAGCACCATCGTGTTCCTGAGCTCAAACTGCATCGAATAGACACCTTTTTTGTTGAAAAGTTTTAACTTCAAAATTTAACCTTTTTTGACCTGAGAGTGACCTGACCTAAGCTAAATTTGACTCAAAATGATCTCGCATGACACAGACGACATCAAATTCGAAATGTTTGGCCTAAATGGACCATAAAACATGTGTCACGTGACCGACGGATGATATAATATTTTCGTGACCTGTGATGACCTGACCTTGACCTGAAAATCAAAGTACAAGTTTGGTACCCTCAGAGTATCTAGAGCATCTGTTCACGAGTGTGTGAACCAAAAATGAGCCTGCTCTGACTTGTAAGACGGCGGCCAGAGCCCAAAACGTGAAGAAGCCAAAATGCTAATAATTTTTACTTTGACCTGACCTGTGACGTCATCAGTGACCTCGAGGTCAATAAAATTAGGTTTCGCTCGACAGTTCTTCCGGGGCTATCAGACGCCGTTTGAATTTTGACGATCGGCCCAGTAGTTTCGGAGTTAGGAGGGGGGCTAGCCCCCCCCCCCCCCCCAGTAGGGCGTGTTATACGCAGACCCCAGTGGGGCGCGGGTTAAGTGCGGACCCAGGGTATTAAGGACCCACGTCGGCAAATCAGTTAGACGTAACCGAAGGTTTGTTGTCAATAGTTAAAACACTATTCTTTTTAGAATTGTGTTTTTCTATTGAAAAACAAATCTGAGTTCCCTGACAATTTGGCAAAAGCTGCCTATAGACAATGACATGAGCCTCCAAAAGAGCTAGTATACCTAGGTGACGGAACATTCCTACTGCCAAATAGGTATTTTCGCGCAAATTAGTGAAAGAGGTTGTGCAATATTTTTACGGAGCGAGCGAAGCGAGCGTAGTCTTTCCTTAGAATAACGGAAATTTCTGAGTATGAGCGGCCGACCGGCCGGCCGGCCGGCCGTGGTCACGCGTTTGCGAGGCTTATATCTCAGCAACCACTTGACCGATTTACACGCGGTAATTTTTGTAGAGTAGCTTCATTCCTTCTACCAAGTATTGGACTATTCCTGATGCATGTAGGTGACCCCTTATGCACGTGCCACGTGCAAAACGAAGAGGTGTCCGTTTTGTAATTGTTGCAATATCTCGGTAACTACTTGGCCGATTGCGCTGAAAGTTGGCATGTAGGTAGGTAGGCATCCACTAGGCACTGCATATCCATGTGCCAGAGTTGGGGCGCTGCTGCACGTGCGCACGTGCAGGGGTCGTTTCCAGATCTCGAGAACGGCTCGACCGATTGCGCTCAAATTTGGTACACGGTTAGGGACCGGTTAGTAGGGTGCCGTGCACAAGTCAGTTGGGACCCATTTTGCACGTGCGCACGTGCAGGGTGCCGCTTCCAGATCTCGAGAACGGCTGGGCCGATTGTGCCCAAATTTGGCACATCGCTAGAGACCGGTTAGTAGGGTCGGCCCCCGCCGAAGTTAGTTGGTAGCACTGCTGCTCCACGGCGTACATTTCCTACCAGCCCATAGGGTTTACATGTTAAATGGCCTGTTTTCGGCGAGCGATATCTCGGTCAACCTTTGAAGGAATCAATGGTTCTTAGTCTCAAATGATAGATCGATGAATTTTCTTTCGACAATTCCTCTACCATTTTTCACGAAACCCAGCCGATCTTCTACGGCGTACAGGGTAAAGATTTCTCTGCACGCCAGCACCCGCGATCCGCCTCTCCGATCGTCGGCGCGCGGTCCTCGGTAGCGCAGTCGGTAGCGTATCGGGCTACGGATCCGAGGGTCGTGAGTTCGAATCCTGGAAGCGCCGTGTGATTTCGGCTAGAATTGAATGATGTAGAATCTTGAATGTTTGCGTAATCAATTATTAATTGCTAATTGAATGTATCTGCGCACTAATCGGCCCCTAAAACCTGTTATTTAAGAAATTTAAGAAATGAATGTCACGTGCGCGTCACGACTGCCAACCATAAGCGCTACCATATTCTAGTTAGAACTAACTTTTTGCTAGTCCCGACCACATATAGTAGGTTTTCTAGTAGTTATACTAGAAATTCCTACCAAAGTTCGTCCTACCCTTCACTTAATATACCCTGAGTAGGGTGCCGTGCACAAGTCAGTTGGAGGTACCCCCTCGCAATTTCGCACGTGCAAGGCCCACCCTCTCGCTCGCTCCGTTAGTCGCCCCAAAAGGCGTTATACTGGTACAGCATGCGGCACAGTCGTTTACTTCGGTGATTTCTAAGTAAGGATAATTCACGGCGAGGCTTTGTCCGGCCTCCAGACGCGAATATACGTCGCTCTTTGCAGGTTATCAAAGGTTTACAACTAGCGATGGTCTTAAAAGTTAAATGCCTGATCGTTAAAAAGTGTACCTACCTACCTGAGTAAACATGTTGTTAACATGTAGTCTGCTATTTCGATGATTTGACCTCTCTTCATCGGATTTCTTAAATAAGTGCAAATCGCAGACGTTGTATTTACCGTCGTGTCTCCAAATACGTTTACATAACATTAATAAGTCCCTGTATATGCTGGAAAGCTGAGGGGCATTGTTCCAGGGTCTGGCGGCTGGAGCTGGTGGCGAGGAACGATAACCTGTTACAACACTAAGAAGCTTCTGAATCGATATGCACCCATGCGGGAGGGGGACCTAAAAGCAGTCGTGGGACATCGATTTTATTATTGACCAGAAGTAGTCATGAGACATAACTAATACTAGTAATACTAGGTATGTGGTAATAAAGCAGCAATGTGGGCTGTGTCCTTTTATGAGTAGATTTTATCTGAAACCGAGTTTATCTCTACCACAAAATGGTGTGATCGACGCGGCACGCTGTTTGCCGCGTCAAAACGTCACTGTTATTCTATCCCATTGAAACTCTCGAAGCTTTTTAACATCATTTCCAACTCACCAGTAATTCATGATGAGGGTTCAGAAATAAATATGGCTTATGGCACAATAATGAACGTTTGCTGCTTCCTCAAAACTTCAATACACAGTACAAACTCGCTGACATTGTTTGACATTGATGCTAAATGTAATTAATCATAAGTGAAATTGAATTCATAAGCCAATTCCTATCAAGGAAAGTTTGACAAATAGGTAAAGCAGCTGAAGTAATCAGCTCAACAGCCGTACGGCATATTTATGTACCTATATCCATGGGTACCATTACATAGTGCTGCAACCCTTCGTCTGATCGATGCTGGCGGACAGCGCGGAGGCCGGACCGGCGCCGGCCGTATAAAGTCGCGTTGGTCGTCCGCCGCCGGCCACTCGCGGTTGGCCGCCGTCGCCGCCATGGGCCACAGTCGGCGGCTCCTGGCGCTGTCGGCGCTCGGCCCGGCGCTGCTCGTCGCCGGACTCGCCTCGGCCCAGCAGTTCGAGTGGACAGAGCCGACTCCGGGCCCCTCCGCAGAGCCGGGCGTTACGCTAGGGTCGGCCGAGGAAGTGGCGCTGGAGCCGGCGTCCGGGCCCCGTCCCAGTCCTCCTCTGATGACGCCCGTGGTGCGCCTGCTGCGCCGGCTGGCCAAGCTCTCCTCCTCCGAGCTGCTTGTGCTGAGCTGCGGCGCGGCCGACGCACTGGACGTCGAGCTGCGCCAGCTCGACTGGCCGTCCGGCCTGCAGCTGGTCACCTGTTTTCCCTGTGACGCCGAGGCGGTGCGGTTTCTGTTTGACCGGCGCCGCGGGCTGCGGCTGCTCTTCCTGCAGGATGCGCGCTGTCTGCCGCGCGTGCGGAACCACCTGCACAGCCACTGGGCCGCCGGAGAGACGGTGGTGATCCCGGCGGACTCGTGCCAGCAGACGCTACGCTTCCCGCTCTTCGGCAAGGTGATGTACCCGAGCTGCGTGGAGCACGGTGACAACGGCACCCGCTTCGTGACGCAGCGCAGACACGACGGCGCCCTGGTGCGGCAGAGAGTATACTCTGTAGCCGGAGAGCCGTACCTGAACAACGCCTCGGCGCTCCTGACGCGCGCCGACCTCGGCGGTCGCACTGTCACCTTCCTGTTCGAGAACTACAACCCGTTCTTCGAGTGTCTCCAGCAGAACGGTCGCGTGTGCGTCTCGGCCCTGGATACGCCTCCTAAACTGCTGATCGACAACCTGGCTTCGCGGCTCAACTTCCGTCCGCTGTACCTGCGTGGCCCGGACGGCAGCTGGGGCCACGAGGAGGACGGCGTCTGGAAGGGCATGGTCGGCGAGGTGGCGCGAGGCGAGGCCGACTTCGCCATCGGCGGCCTCTTCGTCACCGCCAAGCGACGCACCGTGGTCGATTTTGCCCAGGAGTTTGCGCTCGTCTACGTGAACATCATCACTCGGCCGGTGCAGCTGGGCGTCAGCAGCGACCTGACGCGCATGCTGTCGCCGCTGGTGTGGGTGCTGATCGTGGCCAGCCTGCTGCTGACTGCCGTCAGCGTGCTGTTCGCCAAGCGGCTGCTGGGCGGCCGGCGCAGCTGGCTGGCGCAGCTGGGCTCCGAACTCGAGGACGCCTACCGCGTGCTCACCGCGCAGGACATCAACTGGAGCCGCGTGATGCTCGGCAGGATGAGCTTCGCCGTCGGCCTGATCGTCGGCACGTGGCTGGTGTCCAGTATCGTGACACGCACCGCTTACACCTCCAAACTGATCTCGATTCTCACCCGACCACCGGACTCATGGGCACCGGAAACGTTCCAGGTAAGCACTGTCAAATATTTGCTGATACTTAGTGTACGGATTACGCATGTCTTCATGGCGATCTTCCATGAGTTCGGAGTCTCATTAGGCAAATAAAAACGAGCGGCCAAATTAACTAGCGTACTTATAAGCGGAGGGGAGTCAAACGGACGGCCTCCCTGTTTTTTTTTTTTAACGAATAACTCGCGGTTAACGCGACGGATAGCGGCGAAAATATAAGTACCCTCATGAGAGTTGAGCTACCATTGTCAAGTGAGAAGGGATGACGTATGAAACTTTCACATGCAGGGGCTACGCCTCTGTCTCAGGTTGGGGGAGGGTATCCGACCCAAAAATGCACACCTTTAAGTATGTATTAGGCTGCATTACGGTAGTGAGATTATTGGAGGGTCTGGAGCTCGCCCTCCTCCCCCCACTCCTCCCCCTGGTGGCAAAGCCTCTGCTTTCACATGCATGTGAAACAAGTCATAAAGCGTGTCAAATGGCGACACGTATAGCGACATGATGTTCACGGAAACACTCAATAATAAGCGTCCCTCTCCCTTTATGTCTTATAATTTATGGTCCAATGGAACATTGCGACAGTTAAATTTGCTCGGTTTCAACGCTGTCACGGAGTTAGCAGTCAGGTTGTGAAGCGCACTAACCTCAGCGGCAGTAATTGCACCGTATTATTCGACATGTAACTGCGTAAATGCTATCAATAAATGGTGCCGTTTCAAATGTCCCGATCATATTGTTAGAGCCAGCAATACTTACTTACCTATGGCTTAGATTGCTAGTCGCCTGAGGAAAACGTCGGTATGTAGGCACATGTGTTAGGTGTCATGTGTAGGCACGACGTTTAATGATAAAAGACAGGGTCAGTTTGACCCAGTCGTTGGTCTCCAATAAATTTAGCCTCACGAAAATAACGACGGTGCTCATGCATTTCAATGAAACCGATTATGCTCTTTTTTAAATGAAACGTTCCAATATTTGACCATTAAGGCATTGACAGAGCCTCGAAAGCTAACATATTAAAAAAAATATCGGTATTGTCTTATTGTGAGATAATCGGCTTTTATTTTCGGTCATTTTTCCCCACTTGATTGATCACTTACCACTTATATAATATATATATAGGTTTACACTTGACCACAAAGTGGGCATAAAAAGCAGTTTCCGAATCCCAAGTCACTAGCTGAACCGGAGCAGCAGCACAACTAATGTGAAACGTTACCCGTATAAGTGACGTCTTTTCGGCTCTGTGCTATCACCAGCAACAACAATGACGATTGACGTCTCTCGAACGAGTGATGTCTGCGTGGCATCCTGCGTACCAAAGACATTTGCATCATTGGCACCAAAGACGTCTAACCGTGAGTGCTTATTCCCGACAGGACCTGGTGGACCACGAGTACGACGTGGTGACGCACGCCGGCTACGGCACCTACACGGACTGGATGAACGCGCAGACGGCGCCGCTGTTCCAGCGGCTCAAACGGCGCTGGATCCGCGGCGACAACGCGCAGGCCTTCCGAGAGCTGACCACCACGCGCCGGCGGCTGGCGCTGCTCGAGGAGACGCCCGGCGCCAAGAGTCTGCTCTACGACACGATCGCGGCCACGCGCGGCCAGGTGACGCCGGCGCACATGCACATCGGCCGCGAGCAGTTCTTTCCGTCCAACGTGGCCTGGGCGCAGCAGAAGAACACGCCGTACGCGGCCGAGATGAACCGCCGGCTGCAGCTGATGCGCCAGTTCGGCCTGGTCGACAAGTGGATGGCCGACGTGGAGCGGGAGAAGGCGCAGCGGGCGCGGCGCGAGCAGCAGAAGGCGTGCCGCCGGCAGCCGGAGCTGTGCGCCGGCCGCCGGTTCACGGCGCTCACCGTGCAGCAGGTGGGCTCGGCGTTCCTGTTCCTGCTGTACGGGTACGCGGCCAGCGCGCTGCTGCTGGCCGCAGAGCTGGGCGCCGCGCGCGCCGCCGGCTGCTCTCTGCGGAGGCCACTGCAAACCACCGAGCGCCGCCAGACCCGCCTGAACGGCTGGTAGCATCGCACCAGTGTCCCGGCCGCGGGGTGCAGGGGGTGAGGGATCGAGGAGATTTGATGACGAAAATAAAATATAGAATCCTGCTCCGCCCGTCTGTTGTACGCATTTATTGCTTATTTGCCTAGTAAATTGGGCACAAGCTAATCCAATGGACCTCGTAAGTCGTTCATAAGTGCATTGCATCATCAATGACCAAAAGCTGCAAGCGTGATGAGATGCAAACATACTGACTACCATCTCCTATCACGTCACAATAGCATGTCGTCTTCTGCATAGCACGGTGGCCGAGTGCCTCATGACACCCAAAGCGAACGGTACGGAGGACGGACGGTTTAAAGAGTGTTGTGATTGTGATTTTATGTTTTGTTTGACTTTGATCTTAAATGGGCTAGTCCCGTGATCAATTCCATTAATAGGTAAATGAAATGAAATAAATGTAATAAATGTATGTAGGTATACCTACATATACCTAATCAGTACGTACCTACAAATATTGCAACAAAAAAAAAAAAACTGTTGCGCTTGGAAATAGGTAATCCTACTATGTCATGTGATTTACGTGTTTCACTTGCTGTTCCGGCATGTGCCATGTAGAAACCCAACGTGTGCCGTGTGCTTTGTGCGTGAATAGATCGGTACAACAACATGGTCTTATAGTTGTAATTTTGTTTGTTTGTTTGTTAAATGGTGCTTTAGGGCGCGCCGACTGCTGAGGTCATTTTGCGCCCAGTTGTAATTGGAGCCGGCCCTGCAGTGAGACCAAAGTCGATATCGGCACGTCTTCTGACGCACTCCTAGGCCTTCGTCGACGGGCGAAACCGGCTGGTAACCCACTGCGTTTCATCGTATAGCGACAGATCGATTCACATGGACGTTGAGGAAGCCATACTCGGATGCATTCCGGAGCGGTGCTAAAATCAGTTTGATGGCCATCCTGTCATCGAGAGTGGTTCAATAACGCCGATATTGATGTGACGGGCGGGCTAACGGAGTCGGAACGGAGTCGGAGTAGGAGTTGGTCGGAGTACCGGCTCCGAGTAGACAGCTCTGCCCGGAGTCACCAAAATCTTACCGACACCACACCGACTCCGGAGAATAGTTCACTTTCACGAAATTAGTTTTTTTTTTTTGGCAATAGATTTATGATTTTTTCTGATTTCTTGATTCTGATGATTTCTTACGAATACCAACGAAGACCATGGGATTTGGGAAAATACCGAAACCGAACTAACTATATACCTACTGCCTTGGAACCAACTAGGGAGCATAAGAATAATACCAACTTTTTACCAAATTCTCAGCCTCTCATGCGTTAGCGAGGATTCATAATACGCCTTGCAAAATACCAACAAAATACCAAAAACAATAGGATTGAAATACCAAATACCAAGTCGGTATCGGTTTGGTATCGGTCAACTATCGGTAGGTAGGTACTAGGTATACCAAAAAGTTGGTATCCGATCTCTAATCCAAATGCCTGCCATACACTTGTTTAATTGACCAGTAGGTATAGCGCCTTTTTGGGCGACTAACGGAGCGAGCGAGGGGGTGAGTCTTGCACGTGCGAAATTTCGAGGGGGTACCTCCAACTGACTTGTACACGGCACCCTACTGACCGGTTTCTAGCGATGTGCCAAATTTGAGCACAATCGGCCCAGCCGTTCTCGAGATCTGGGAGCGGCACCCTGCACGTGCGCACGTGCAAAATGGGTCCCAGACTCCCAACTGACTTGTGCACGGCACCCTACTAACTGGTCCCTAACCGTGTACCAAATTTGAGCGCCATCGGTCCAGCCGTTCTCGAGATCTGGAAACGACCCCTGCACGTGCGCACGTGCAGCAGCACCCCAACTCTGGCACATGGATATGCAGTGCCTAGTGGGTGCCTACCTACATGCCAACTTTCAGCGCAATCGGCCAAGTAGTTACCGAGATATTGAAACAATTACAAAACTGACACCTCTTCGTTTTGCACGTGGCACGTGCATAAGGGGTCACCCACATGCATCGGGAATAGTCCAATACTTGGTAGAAGGAATGAAGCTACCCTACAAAAATTACCGCGTGTAAATCGGTCAAGTGGTTGCTGAGATATAAGCCTCGCAAAAGCGTCCGCACGGCCGGCCGCTTATACTCAGAAATTTCCGTTAAAGGTAGACTGTCACCTTTTTTCACTTACCGGTTTTCGTAAGAGGTGCCCACCCTCACCACAGATGTCCAGTCCATTTTCCGTTTACGTTATCCTCACCCTGTAACGCGCAATCGCCTCCCAAAGTTCCATTTGATGCCATCTTTTTCGCCGGTGAAAATGCTCATCACTAGGTTAATATTGATAGCATGTATGACGCTTTTCATTACATTTTTGCATCATAGAGATTTGTTGTTATTTTTCTTGAATGTTGTGACAAATTTCGTAATACCAATATTAATTTAAAGATTAGGCACTGTATCGAATTCATTATGATCAGACCGGTTTCGGTGTATGAACACCATCATCAGTGAGTAAAAATACAAAAAAAAAACAACAACATACAAATGCATCGCAATCATTCAGTAGTTCGTAATATATGCATTTGAGACACTAATACCAGTATAACGCCTTTTGGGGCGACTAACAGAGCGAGCGAGAGGGTGGGCCTTGCACGTGCGAAATTGCGAGGGGGTACCTCCAACTGACTTGTGCTCGGCACTCTACTAACCGGTCTCTAGCGATGTGCCAAATTTGGGCACAATCGGCCCAGCCGTTCTCGAGATCTGGAAGCGGCACCCTGCACGTGAGCACGTGCAAAATGGGTCCCAACTGACTTGTGCACGGCACCCTACTAACCGGTCCCTAACTGTGTGCCAAATTTGAGCGCAATCGGCATAGGCGCGGGAGCCGGGGGGGGGGGGCAGTGGGGGCAGCTTGCCCCCCCAACTCTGGGGCCGTGGGGGCGGTGCCCCCACAGCTTTGAGACGGAATACCACACTTTTTTTGTAAATGTTTTCTTTTTTTGTTGAAAAAGCCGAGGGGTGAAAAATAAGTGGCCTAAAACCGGTGAGAAAACTAGATTTGGGGGTACCCTAGGTTGATCTCTATTATGGTGTGCCCCCCCCCCAGTCGGAAAGTAGTTCCCGCGCCCCTGGCAATCGGTCGAGCCGTTCCCGAGATCTGGAAACGACCCCTGCACGTGCGCACGTGCAGCAGCACCCCGACTCTGGCACATGGACATGCAGTGCCTAGTGGGTGCCTACCTACATGCCAACTTTCAGCGCAATCGGCCAAGTAGTTACCGAGATATTGCAACAATTACAAAACTGACACCTCTTCGTTTTGCACGTGGCACGTGCATAAGGGGTCACCCGCATGCATCAGGAATAGTCCAATACTTGGTAGGAGGAATGAAGCTACCATACAAAAATTACCGCATGTAAATCGGTCAAGTGGTTGCTGAGATATAAGCTTCGCAAAAGCGTCCGCACGGCCGGCCGGCCGGCCGGCCGCTCATACTTATAAATTTCCGTTAAAGGGAGATTATGACCTTTTTCCACAAAATCTGAGTTAGGACCATTTTCTGACAAAACACAACAAGTTATAATGTAAATTAAAACCATTTTGCTCAATTCGGTACCTTGCCGCAAATATCTCAACTTGAAGTCACGTTAGCGGGGAGCGCTGAAAATGACCGTTGAATAAGTACTTACATCACTTTTTGGAACTTGCATGTAATTTTGTAAAATGAGCGTATTCATTACATTTGATCTTCATCACATCTAGTTAGTTAATGGTCGTCTATAGTGCCTTCAAAAGATATTCATGGTTTGGTGGTGGTTTATGTCTAAATTTACGCAACTATTTTTCCTGTTCATCATCTGTCGCCATGTGCTGCTATTTTAGTAGCAACGACTCAATTTTGAATCGGTCCCGCCGACTGCACAATAAAAGAAGATAGATACAACACTTTTGCGGCATCACTGAAAAACTTATGCAGTACTGTTATCAAAATTCTCATAACACCGTTCGACAAACCTGAAGTCTTTTTGAAATAAATATGCTTGTATTTTTCGCTTCAGGCTCTGAGGCCAAAATAATGAATTTCGTAGTCGCAACCGCAAGATTTGGCTGCGTTTCTCGCGCTTGCCGTTCATTTGTGGCGCAAAATAATGTAAACAGTGTCATTTCTCGCATTTCTTGCTCTCGAATGCACTCCTTGCTTTGTATGGTTGATTATTTGATAAATATTTAAAGTTTTGTTGCAATGCCTGGTCAGAAATGCTGTGTAAGAAATTGCAATGGAACGAAAGATCTCAGCGCTATTCCCGGTGGCAAAATTGACGACACGCGAAGAAAAGTTTGGCTGACACATTGTAGAAAAAATTCTTCTTTGCTGAAGCAAGGGCGTGTTTGCCGCAAACATTTCAGCCCCACTCAGATGGTGGAAGCAAATGGCAAGCTATACTTGAAACATGACGCCGTACCGGACCAAAACCTTCCTGGGTAATTATGATTTATTCTCACTAGTTGCATCATCTATCATTATGAGACATTGCTATTGACACCAGGGTGCAATCTTACCAATGCCGTAAGTAGGATTTGGCAGGACTGGCCGGAGTTTACAGCGCTAATATCAAAGGTAAACTTTTTTACATTCAGCTAAATGCTAATCTTGTCCAATGATTTTGATAGCATGAATGATTATGAATGTTGCGTGAACGAATAAATAAGTGAATGTGGAATAGTTCTGAATGTTACCAAATGCCGTGAATGCGCATTCACTGCATTTGGTAAGATTGGGCCCTGGTGTTATCAGTAAATGTGTAGATGAAGCCTGAGGAAGATAAAAACATGATCTAACCTGAGGGCTGTTCGGCTGCGCAGCAAAAATGAAATATGCTGCAGCACGCGTGCGCAGTGAGGGCTACATCGCCCGTTAGTCCCGCCCACACCATTACGTCATCGGTCAGCTGAGCTGAGACGGAATACCTCACCTTTTTGCAAATATTTTCGTTTTTTTTTCGTTGAAAAGGCCAAGGTCTGAAAAACAAGTGGCCTAAAACTGGTGAGAAAACTAGATTTGGGGGTACCCTAGGTTGATCTCTATTATGGTTCATCCCCCCAGTCTGGAAGAAGTTTCCGCGCCACTGAACCAACCAACCTACAGCCGGCATATGTGTGGTCTGTAGGGTATTAATAGAGCAGACGTCACACAAAGGTTTTCCAACCAAGAAAAAATGGTAGTTGTCAAGCAGGCATCACACTTCTTTTTGCAACCAAGGAGAGGCGCTATACCCAGAGATGCTTTCTTATCAAACCTGACCAAGCCAACTCTAACCGAACCTAACCTAACCTTACCTACAACCTAAAGCCTAATACCTACCACCTACAAGCTAACATGGTAATGCAACGGTAATGTAATACAGGTTTAAATATATATAATGTTTATGTTGATGGATATTGTGTGCTCTGTTTCAGCCCCCCATCAGATGATGACGAGCCACGCATGGCTACCAAGAGACTTCGGTGAGTGATAGCAGATTTGTTGTACTGCCTTTTCGTTTTTATTATGGATTAAACTGTAATGTGACTCCTTTGTAATATGCTTGTTGTAGTGCTCAGTCATTTTTTTGTAAAGCCAGTGAGTCATGGCATACAATAAGCTGAATG